CCTGCGAGCAAGTCTACCCCTCCTGCGTGGCGCGAGGCGCCCCCTGGCCGTGGCAGCCCTGGGGCAGTTTGCGGCGGAGCGTCTGCAGCGCCCAGCGCGTTGTCACATGGCTCGAACTCGGCCGGCGGCGCAGCATCGAGCGCGCACTGGACGTCGCCAGCTGACATTTCCCCGGCAGCATCTGTTGGCCCGAGGCAACACCGCCGCCCGCGGCACCTTCCGCGGACTGCGGCGGACCTGCCAGAGACCGGGCCCATCCTGCGCAGTCGAACCGCACGTCCTCTACACTTCGGTACAAGTTTTCGTTCCACCATCGGGCCCTCTGCGGCGAGTCTCTGCGTCGAGGCCCTTCTCGTACGCCATGAAATCTTGTTTGCGCATGTCGACCGCGCTGGGGGTTGGCAGAGCGCGGCCCGAGCCCGCGCCCGAGCCATGCCAGGCCATCTCGGCGAGCGCCCCCGCCGGTGGTTGCGCTGACCCGCTTGGGGCGCACATGCTACATGTGCAACTGATGAAACTGCTGTAATTGTCATGGTGGCGGCGGCAGCGATGCGGCCAGAGAGAAAGATGACAGCCGGACAACCATCGGGGCACCCATCGGGGCAAGCGGGGGCCGCGCCTGGACTCGGGGGGGCGGGCGGCCCTTTGCGCTCCACGCGGTCTCTACCAGCGCAGGAACTCGCGCAGCTTCGCCGCGCCCGCACGCGGCACGCGAACAGCAATCAAAACCGATTTCCCGGTTGGTGCCACTTCCGCTCACACCTCCCAACCACCGACAATGTCTGACAGAACATGTTGTCCAAAAGCGACGACTCGTTGTCTTCAATGAACAGCGCCCGCGGCGGCGCAGACAGCGCGACCTGTTCAGAATGAACAAGATCTGCTGCTGGCCATCGTGCCCATTCTTGACGTGCCCAATCGTCAGCAGACTTGGCCATCACCGCCCTTCGCGCCACGGCCCCGGGCGCGCTTCCTGAGGGCTGCGGGCCCGGCCCGGGCGCTCGAAGACCCCCGAGAGACCGCTGCTTATCAGTCAGCTCGCGCACCGCGGATGCATGGGGCAGAATGCTGAGATGGGCGACCCCGCCCAGAGCAAGGCAGGAGCTCGACCGCGAGAAACCTCCCACGAGAAACCCAACCCTGAAACCCAAGGGCGCCCCTTGATCTGCGGCGCGGGAACGCCGCGCTCTCCGCGGCAGGGCCGTCGGAGCCCAGGAGGCCCAGGGCGCCCTGAAGGCAAGCAGGGTGTTTCTCGGCATGGGTCCCCACTGTGCATCCCACTGGGGCTCCAGACAAGATGGGCTCCTCTGTGAGATGGCAGAGGTCGAATGTCATTGAAAGCAGGGCCACAACCATGTGACTGCGTGGGATCATACGCAGTGCAGCCGAAGACCTTACACGGAGAGTCGCTGTCTGTTTTCGTGAGATTTGACTCGAGGCGGCGAAGACTCCAGCAAGCGTCGCAGCGTGAACGAATGCAGCGAACTGGCGAGACAATCGGCCAACCAAGTATGGGGCTGTCATCATTTTGACGCCCCTCGTCTGCCGCGCTCCGCAAAAACCGGGAAGCCTCTGGGCCCCCCCTCGGACGCACCCGAAAACTCGCGCGGAGAACCTCCTACGCGTCGAAAGGACAAATCCGGGAACCTCTGGCAGATCGGGGGCGCGCAAACATGGAATGGCGACCCATGGATTTGGCTCGCGGTCGCAAATCCATGGATCGGGGGAAGTGCCCTCCCCAAAATGCGGCGGCTGCCGCCTCGCTTGGCGGCGGACATCCGCGATGTCCCACGGAAACGGGACCCGTCGCTAATCCGCGCCCCTTGATCCATGTTTGCCGTCGCCTGACAGACCACCGCGAACCACCTCCGACTTTCTCCGGGGCCCTCGCCTGATGGGCCTGCGTTCCACCGCCACCACCCCCATGAGTTGGAGGGGGCAGGAGGTGGAGGAGCATGAACATGAGCATGAACGCTATGGGAGCTCCAGTCGATAGCTGAGCACGCCTACACCGAACTCTTACTAAAAGTAGCACTGCACTACCCTGAACAACAGACATTGCATCACTATCTCCAGCGCGGTAGTTCATAGCCGCCCTTGTTCGTGAACGCCAGGGGCCCTGGCGGCACGCAGTCCGCTCGGGGCCTGAGGAGCAAGCGCGGCGGCGCGCAGCCAGAGGCCGCCCCCCCTGGCACCACCCAAAAAATGATCGCTCGATGTTCGCGAGTAATCGCAACCAAAGCCCCCCCCCCGCCCCCCCCCCCCCCCGCCCATCCGCAGCTTCGACGGGGGCCCCCGAATGATTGCCGACCGCCTGGGGAGGGAGAACGCTCGAGGAGGAGGAGGAAGGTAGGATCAAGAGGGGGGCCGAGAAGTCTAGTGGCGATCTCGAGTGCAAGACCTGAAAACCGTCCTGCGGCAAACAAGTCACGGAATCTGCTTCTACTACTCCTCATGACTTCCTTCTTCAACCGATCGAGCAGCGCCTGCCCCTCGCGCTCGAGCGCCCCGCGCGGGGCACTGCCCAGCGCGGGTGACCCCCCGGCCCTGTGGAGCTCGTACTCGAGCTGGCGCTGCACGATCGCGCCGATCTCCGTCGGCAGAAACAGGTAAGTCACCGTCGCGACCTCGGGCTTGTGTTCCAGCTTCGTCGCGCGCTTGCACATCAGCACATCAGGTATTTGACGTCGCGGCTCGCCTTCAGCATCCCGTGGTCCCGGCACAGCGCGTCCGCGCAGTACTTCTTCAGCTCCAGGTGCTCCTCGTCGGGCTCCGTTGCCTGCTGCGCCGCGCGATCCTCCGCATGCTTGACCAGCAACTCCACCGCCGTCGCGTGCAGCACCAGGACGGACGGCCCCTGCGGGTTCACGGGCGGCTCCTCGCCCGTGGGCAGGGCCCCCCTCTTCGCCTTGGCCCGCCCCTGCGCCTGCCGGTTGTGCCCCGCGCCGCTGTCGAGCGTGCCCGCCATGATCGGTGCCTCCACGGGCGCGAGGGCGGCGGTGGAGATCGCCCCTGCCATGACCCTCGACTCGGCGGCGTTGGACAGCGTGAGCTTGGCCGTCACCTCAGGACCTCTGTCAGCGCGTCTAGCGTGGCCCTCTTCGAGCCCCCATCCGCCGCCGCCGCCGCCGCCGCGGCCCCCCCCCGCGTGCTTCTTCGAATCGCTCCCCCCCCACGCCCCCAGCCGTGCGATTGTCCATCCACCATGGGCGATTCTCCATCGACATACTGCTGGGTAACGAACTTACCGATGGCAGAGCCCCAGATTTCCAGTCTCTGAAGAAAATGACAACGGACATGCACCTGGAGCTCTCGGAGGGCCCGCCTTCGAGCTCACATGCTTTGCACCGGTAATGTATGGGCTCTCGTGCGTGCGGTAGGGCAGTAGCGCTTCCTCTCCAGCAATATCCCCTCTTGAAACTATTAGCAGCATGTCGATGTGCAAGGGTAGTAATCGAGAATAGATCAAGACAGCTTCGGCATTGGTTAGTACTTGTCAAGACACCGCTTAAGCGACGAACACTATGCCCAGCGCGAATATGGGCATCTCGCTTCAAAGGTAGAGGAGCCCCCACATCATACACCATAACTATGAAACATATATTCAAATACTGGTCATTCTCGTTCCCCTCCTGGAAATCCCAGACCTATAATTTGCCCAGGTCGGCCTCGGAGACCTACAACCTGAGACCCATGGAGCCTTGGAGGAAGAATCATTGTTCCAAGCACCCTACGTCGAAGTATGTCGGGATCGAGTGCGTAGGATTCCTCCCGAACTTCACAATCGATAAGGAAGGTCGAGATCTTTCCCTCTGCGATGTCCAAAAGGTCTTCGCGCTCCGAGGCCTGGCGCAGCTGCAGGATGTCTATGCCCTTTAGCTTCAACATTAATCCAAGTCCCCGACCAAGTAGGTAGCGAGGGGGAAGAAGTGGATGGTCGACTGTGTCGGGTTCCTCCAAGGCAGGTCCCAGAAAGATGGAGCAGTCTGCAACCTTGTTTGTGAACGGCCCTGGAAGCCACCCCGCCTGGACTACCACGGATTTCCCCACTCTCTTCCTCGTGACCTGACCATCCGCTGGGGATCTCTGCTGCGTGCCAATGAGCATCGTCACGACGAAGCCTCTGAAGTTAAGCTCGAGATCCTCGATGCGGTCAGCCCTGTTCGCGCTGAGAGGATTGAAGGCGGAGGCCCGCAGCCATAGCTCTCGAGTGGCGGCCCCCGACACCCCATTCAGTATGGGAAACTGTATGAGACATATTGCATGTGCGACGATCTGAAGTCGCCAAGCGACCGACATGGAGCGTGCCGACGTGTCGCTGGAGGTGGAGGAGGAGGAGGAGGAAGAGGAGCAGGTGGAGGAGTAGGAGTAGGAGTAGGAGTAGGAGAAGGAGTAGGAGTAGGAGGAGGAGGAGGAGGAGGAGGAGGAGAGGAGGAGGAGGAGGGAGGAGGAGGGAGGAGGCGGAGGGGGAGGAGGGGGAATCGGTGGAGGAGGAGGAGGAGGGAGGAGGAGCCCCTCCTCCTCCTACTTATGGTGGTGGTGGTGGAAAGCAGGCCCACCATCGCCACCCCCGCCCCAGAGCCGCGGGGCCCTCACATGCGGGCTGGGAACCAGCCGGGCGCCCGCCGGGCGCTCGCCGGGCCCCGCCGAGGCGAGGGCCGCCGAGCCCCGTCGCGTCGTTGAGCCCTTGCCTCCTCCACCTCCACCTCCTCCTCCTCGTCCTCCTCCTCCTCCTCCTGCTCCTCCTCCTCCTCCTGCTCCTCCTCCCTCCTCCTCCTCCTCCTCCTCCTCCTCCTCCTGTCCATCCATCCTCCTCGTCCTCGTCCATCCATCCTCCTCGTCCTCGTCCATCCATCCATCCTCCTCGTCCTCGTCCTCCTCACTTCCTCCTCCTCGCCCATCAATCCTCTCCTCCTGACCTCCAGCAGCGCCGAAGCACCTCTTGGAGAGGTCTGACGAGAGGCGGCGCCCCCGCGAGCGGCCCCGCTGAGGCGAGGGGCCCGCAGCGCGCAGAAGACCGAAGGGAACTCCGCCCTCTTTGGGAGGATCCATCGCCCGTCCTGGCGCATCGCGGAGAGGAGAAGACCGACGGACGAGAGAGAGAGGGAGAGAAAACAAAACATAACATAGAAAGAGAGAAAGAGAGAGAGAGAGAGACATACCATGATGGGATTGGGGTGTGCTTCGACATTCCCTTGTGCCCGCCTGTGGGTGGGGCCCTCGTCACAACCGAAAGGCCCGCCCCGGACTCCGAACCAGAGCGCGGAGAAGTCGGGGTGATCGAGGACGCAGAAGACAGCAGGGATGGTGGGAGGCCTGGGGACAACAGTATCGGCGGTGTGCCTCCACCGAGGGAATGTGCTCCCGATCTCGGCGATGGTGGTCAGAGTAAGGGGGCTGGACGGTCTTGTACTGTCCCAGGGCGTGTGGCTGAAGTGGAGTTCTGCGGTGCAGAATGTTGTTGTTGTTGATGATGATGCTGGTGTTGATATTGAACACTCATTCCTAGATAACGATTACTGTTGATCTCCGGAAACGGTTCTGCGCGCTCTCGCCTCGACGCCAGCTACATTGACTTTGAAAACGAGGCTCTCGCTAGAGCGTTGCCTTGAGAGTGAAAGTTGGCCCTTGGAGGCCCAGCTACGACGACAACGGCTCCCGCTCGATACTTCCTCACAATTTACCCCGAGACACCCACCCTGGCCAGAGAGGCCCCCGAAATCAGGAGCCGCACTCTCGCTCGAGACTTCCCCGCAATTCCGTTAAGTTGGCGGGGGCCCGGCCACGACGACGAGGGCGCAGGCTCGATACTTCCTCACGACTTACTCCGAGAGCTCCTGGCCAGGAAGGCCCCTGAACTCAGGAACGGCGCTCTCGCTTAAGATGTTCTCGTGATTCGGTCACACTGGTGGAGGCCCAACTACGACGACAAGGGATCCCGCTCGATATTTCCTCAAGATGGATTCGCAGTGGCCGTCGCCAGAGGCTCCAGAACTCAAGAGTGGCGCTCTCGCTCGAGAGGCTCAAGTTGGTGGAGGCCCAGACGCGGCGACAAGGGTTCCTGTTCGATTTTGCTCAAAAATGTATTCCGAGAGACCCTGGCCAGAGAGGCCCCCGAACTCAGGAACGGCGCTCTCGCTTGAGAGTTCCTCGCATTTCAGTCAGTGGCCGACAAATAAGATATCCCCCCCGAGAGGGGTGCGATCGAAGACGAAGAAGTGGGCGGGTGTCGACGGTTGGGGTACACAGAATGCAAGACACGCGTGCCAGCAAGGGCGAACAGTCGTAAACTGATTGTCGTTGTTGTTGTTGGTGTTGTTGTCGTTGTTGTTGTTGGTGGTGTTATTGCTTATTCGATGTAAGTGTTTTGTTCGACTTAAGTGCTTTTCCCGGGGCTGGCACCCTGTGTGGGGTCACCAAATTGGGCCCTTGGACTACGAGTTAAAACATCAACGGATCCCGCCCGACACTTCTTTACAATGGATTCCCAAATCTCGCTCTCGCGCTGGACGTTCTTATAATGTATGAAGGAACCGCGCTCTCGCGTGAGACTTCCTTGCTATATATTTTGACGCCGCGCCCTCGACACTCAGGAATCACGCTCTCGGTGTAGGTCTCCTCACGCTTTATTTGGGGATCGGGCTATCGCTCGAGACTCCCTCGCGATTCATGCAAAACGCAAGCTTCAGCAACCCGCCTGATCGACCTGGCCGCTTGGGCCCTCCTGCCCGACCCGCCTGGTAAGGTCTACCCACCCGATCTGCGGGATTTGCCCGCGCGGTCCATCCTCCTCCCTCCCCCTTGTCCCTCCATTTCATCCGTCCTCTCTTCTCCTGCTCAGAAGCTGCACGAAACACACGTTGAAGGTGGGGGTACGATCGACGACGAAGAGGGCGGACCGCCTCGCATTTCCAATCGGCAGCCGCCTCCAAGCGGCCCGTGCGCTGCCGGGCGTGCGTGAGCAAGGCGAAGCGCCCATGCAAGCCCCCGCGCCCGGACGGACGCGCGCGGCCGAGCGCGCGCAAGCTAAGCTCGATTTGCGGGCGCACCGCGTGTTCACCAACTGCCTACGAACTCTCCGCGTCGTTCGATGGCAGCAGTTCGAGGATCGAAGCGCTTGCCTTCTGACAGTCCCACGACCCCAGACCGCCAAGGACGACCCACAGAAAACCCCAAGCTGACCCCAGCGGGCATCTGGAATGACCCAAGACTGCCCGAGATGGCCCCAAGACTGCCCTCAGATACCTCCTTGACGGCCTAAAGATCCCCCTGACAGCCAAGACAGTCAAAAACAGCGGAAGAGAGCCCCAAGACTGTCCAAGATGGCCGAAAGATATTACAAGAAGAGAGGGCCCCAAAGGACCCTAAGACTGTCCCACAGAGCGCGAGGTAAACCATGTTTTCGCTTTCCGTGTTGTTTTCGTGCTCGCTGGTTCTGCCTTCGTTGCACCGTTGTTGCAAAACGACATCAGAACACAAATGGTCTTCGAAATCACCAAAACGCCTTTTACCTCGCGCCCTGCTGTCCCAATGGGGTCAAGGACAGCCCCCAAAGCCCCCAAGACGGCCCCACAAAACTCCATCAAAAAGTGGACGCGAGAGGTGTTACATGTGACGTCTTTCGGTGCCCGGTGCTTCGCCACCAACAGTGCTGCGCAGGCACGGTGGCGGCACTTGCGCAAGCACCTGGACGAAAAAATCCCCCGTCTCTCCACCAGACGTGTCGTTCGGACGGGCCGAGCGTTTCGCCAAATATTCCCCCACCGTTTACGACATTCGACACCAAGAATCCAAGGCAAATCCCTTTCGCCATGGTGCTCTCGCATTGGCGCCACGCGCAATCTTCCCACGCAGAACCAACGATCGAGCGGATGGAAGCAGGGTGGTTTTCAAAATGGGCTCGCGCCTGGGCACCGCGAGAAGTCGCCATACAGTCGTGCAACCATTATACGGATGGGGGATGGAAAACAACTTTTGTTGTCAAACACGAGATCTCGTCTCAGCGCCGCGCACAAACGTCGTACCCAAGCCCAACAAATCCACCGATGTACGCCCCGCGGTCTGTAACATGTGACTCTCGCTTTGGCGCCGTACAAACCCGTTAAAAACCGTCCAACAATTACACGGATGGAGGGCGAATCGCTTTCAAAGCGGGAAGGTCTTGCTCTGCCACCGCGCACACGCTTCTGAACCAACAGCCAGCCAGCAGTTACACGAATGGAGGGTGTGCTGCTTTTTTGCCCAAATGGGCCCATCACCCCAGATTCCATCAGCTTATTTCGTGGCGCCCCTTTTCAGAGTGGAGGTGTCGCTTGAGACGTCGCCCTGAATGATGACCAGGCGTCAGGACTGTTCAACTGCCACACTGAGGGGCAACCATATCGTGGTAGGAACTGGCAAAGGGGATGAAACCATCGACCTGGAATCGGCGGCACATCGCCGATAAAGATCGGTGATCGGCCCCCAAGGATGGATCCGCACGTCTCTGGGCAGGCTGGGGCTGCTGCTGGGCCCCTTCCGGCGATCAGTGGTCGCCTCGGGGATCGATGCATCCCCGCACTGTACCCATGCCCCCCCCCCTCGTTGCCCCTGACTCTGAGACGGTTCCACTGCCGCACCGATGGAGGGCGATTCCCCTCTTGTGAGGGAGGGGCGCTGTCGCTGGATGCTGCCCTAACCTTGCAAGCTTCAAAACACATCTCCAGGGGAGGGGGATTCCTTGCAGTGCGTGGCCCCACCCTCCCTGACCTTGCAGGGTGCTTCAGACTAGCACTCCATACCTATTGACCTGTCTAGGCCGCTTCAAACATCGACGGGAATCTGGATGTCGAGATTCTGGTGTCTTTCACTGGCCCTCCTGGAAGGTCTGCGCTGTCCATTTCCTCTGGGCTCGAAGGATGGAGACCAGCCTCCGTTCTGAGCGGAGGTCCCGCCTGGATCGTGGGCCTGGGGGGCGATCGTCTTTCGGGAGGGGGGGGCGCATGGCGCACTGGAAAATAATGCGTGGAACCAAAGACGGGGAGCGGCATTGAGACGGGAGGGTGCGATGCAGCATCCTTGACACATATGGGGTCACTCCGGTCCTGGACCTCCGCTGGAGCGCGTTCTGACCAAGATCCCGAGCCGACTCCAGCCGTGGCAACCTGGACCCCCCAACCCCTTACGTCCCACATCCCTCCCTGACGCCAGACCTCCGACGTCGTATTGTTTGAATGAGAAGTCCCCAACAAAAATCCGCCCTTCCCCGCGGCCGAAATTTCGTCCTGGACATGTTGTTGATGATCCTGGGGACCGGAAATTGCTTTTTCAAGGGTTAATCTTGGGAGAACATCGCTGGGACGTAGCAGGCCGCGTCGTCGTCCCTCGCCTCTCCTTCGAGAAGACGCTCTTCTTGTCGTCATAAAAAACGGTGGGGACGATGTCGTCAGTAAGGTCCTGCGCGGCGCCGATGTGTGATCTGGGAGGGCGCCGGCGGATGCCCTCCTCTGACCAGTAGGGTGCGGTGATCTCCTTGTCGGCACTGTCCTCCCTAAACATCAGGTTTTACTACTTCTGCTTCGCCGCCAAAGATCGGAGACAAACTTTGGCCCCAATGCAAAGCTTGCACTGAAAATTGCTTAGCTCGGGTGTACGGAATAGCATATGCGTGCCGCAACCATCCGTGCCGAAACGGCGCCCCGTGGTTCCAGTGCGGTGGCCCACGTATGGCATGTGTGCCGCAATGGGCTGGTCCCTTTCGGTGCCCTGTGGTTCCCGCAGCCAGCTGCGGCACACATGCCGCATCTGCTCCGCGGTTGGCCGTTCCTGCTTTGTTTAGACGAAACCAAGACGAGGAGAATTCTGGGTGAGGACAATTCGAGAATCTCTGAGATCTGGTGGCTCTCGAAGATGCCTCGGGCGCCGCGGCCTTCTCAGACCGATCCCGAACGCTCTGAGACCATTCTGGAACGCTCTGGAACGGAGTGCCCTCGTCCCAGCCCCGTCCAATTTTGACAAGCGCGTTCCCGTACTCGCAGAACAACTACTCGCAAATGGGCTGGATCCGCCGAGGGGGACTTGCGATCCATTACATCGAGGCAGACGTTTGTTTTTAGGGCCTTTTGCGAGTAGGTACTTTGCGAGTAGTGGAAGGCGCTCGGTGACAATTTGTGCCCTATGGTTGGTGCACTGCGGTGGCGGGTGCTGGTGCCCCATGAATGGCGCCCCATGGCTGGTGCCCCGTGGGCGGTGCCTCATAATTGGCGTGCGTACCATGGAGGCTCGGTACGGCTCGCCCTACACAGATTGCACTTCATGCTCAGATCGCACCCTTGCTCTTCAGCAGAGCCCCGCCCGCAGCCCTGCTGCGTGAGAAAGTTCCTGCGCCCGGCTCCCCCCTCCGAGGCCGCCCTCTCGCATGCGAGGTAATTCGCGATTCCGTGCCCCGGTCTCGCCCGGACGCGCGAGCGCATTGCCTCTGCCGCGCCGCGACGTTAAATAGATTTTGAGCAAAGCTACTCCTTGGGGTCCACGCGCTGGCATCGTACAGCTTGTCAGCAAGGGTGCTGCATGAGATCTCCAAGAAGCGAACAAGTGTGCTGCCAGAGCCGACTTTCGCGCGGGCGACGGTGTCCCCGCTGCCGCAGGGCGTGCGACGAAGCCTCCCGCGTGGCCTCCCGTTGCCTACAGTGGCTTCCCGTGGCTATCCCTTGAGGTGGGGGCCGGGCCGGGGCAGGGACCAAGCACGGGGCTGGAGGTGGGGCCCGGGCCACGGCTGGAGCCGAAGCCGGCGTCAAGGCCGGAGCTGGGGCCAGAGGTGGGGCAGGGGCCCAAGCCCGGGCACGAGGCGAAAGACTGTTCCATGAACCCCGAGTCGGACAAATACAAGGGCCCTCCAGAGAGCTCCCGAGCAATCCCTCAAAGGAAAGGCGAAACCAAACGCAACAAAATCATTCGCCAAGGGAACCTGATTCCTGGCGAAAGTGTGTTTAAGAAGTGGCGAAATAAGGGCCTCATCGTTCATGATGGGCCTATCGGATGTGCCACTAAGCGTTCAACACTGTGTTAAGCTATTCTGTGGAAGCAAGGGGGCTAGGAGGAGAGGGCGATGACGGGGCGATCCAACTTCCTCTTTACCCTCGCGCGCGCGGGAAGCGCACTCCTCCACGCAACGTTGATAGCAATAGCTTGAGCCAACGTCAGCGGCGGGGCGGCGGCGCGCACCGGAAGTGAGCGGGGAGATAGCATGAATAACTTCCCCCGCGGCGGGCAACGTAAACCCTGCGCTTCCAGACCCACCCAAAGAGCGCCGGGGTCTGGCGCGCTGGATCCCCACGGCGCCAGACCCCAAAAGAAAAACGTTTTACAGCGCCAAGGAAGGGGTGCCGATCATCCATCTGGACCTCTTTTGGGCAAAATCGGAGCGGGCCGACGCACCCCGCGAACATCTGCCCAGGCTCAGAAGAAGATGTTATATTTCACGTGCAAGTACATTGTCCGGCTCTTTTTCCGCAAGTAGTGCCGTGGAAGCTGAGCCTTCTTTCGCATGTTCTTCTTGACCTCGTAAAACGTAAGATGTAGTTCCCTTTGCTATCAAACGCGGTGTCGCGGTCCTCCAGCAACCAGAATTCCGACGTTCTGTCGCGCGCCAGCTTGCCACCATATGCATAATCATGATAATGGCAGTTCCGGCACCAGCGTTCGTGATGCTGGGCTCGCAGGTAAGGGTCCCCCATTGAGTAGCTGCGCGACGCTCGATGCTCCTCCCTTTGTCCATCTTGCGCTTGGTGGCGCAATGGCGGCGTCGGTGCGGGATTGGCCAGGGCCTCGGCGAGCCTCGACTTCCCGCGACGACTCCTGCCCCTCAGATTGGTGGCGCCGAAGACACGTCCTGCCAGGGCGGCGCGCGCGCGCCCTCGCGTTGGGAACGCCCATCGGACACGGCGGCCATCACGGCCCCCCGCGCGGGCGGCGCGGGAGGAGGGGGAAGACGAGGAGGGGCAGCAGTTGCAGGGGCAACGGCCGAGGAGGCAGCAACCGAGTCACTGCCCTTGGTTTTCTTGTGATCGTACTCCTTCAAATCAGTCGAGGCCGGCGCGGGGCCCCGTCGGACTGAGCCGGCAGCGGGCTCCGCAGATGCTCTTGCGGAGGACCCGGAACGACAGTAGGATTGGGTGATTCTTCCACTGCCATATCGGCCGCCTCGGTACTGTGTGACGGACGACTCACGGGTATCCTATCACCAGCTAAGACGATATCAAGAATTCCGCCGTGATCAATGAACACAGAATACCAACAACCAGAACAGCATGTTGCTGCCCGTGTTGATCAACCAAACGAGTCCACATGTGAAGGCTTTCGCGTCGTAGTGGATATTGTCATTTTGTCGGGCTTGGCCAAGGATTCGTGCGCATCTTGGTCATGAGGCTGAGCCCCAACCCCTCGATCACTCTCCAACAGGTCGGAAGTCCTGATGGTACCTTTTTATACATCGAGCTCATAGGAGTCCCTGCGCATCTGTCGCGGGCAACGGTCAACCCTGTCCTCGGCGCAGCTCGCCCTCCATTGCTCTTGGTTGTTCAGGAATGACGATTTTTCAATAGGCGCACAACGTAACGTCCACGAAGAACGGATTACACCGCGCATTCTCGAATCATGCCCGTCACGCGAACAGGCACGTGGTCAAGCAGTTCAGCCTTGATGCTCTTATTCCAGCAAGCGCCCAGGAGCTTGGCAAATCTGGAAGCAATGCGCCCTTGGCCAACCTCGCCGTGACGCGCGTGGTCGGCAATCGCGCATTGACTGGTCGAGCCACTCGGGGCATGGTAACGATAGGATCTGGGATCTAGAAATACGGCCTCATATTTAGAAAGTCCGTTTTTTGAATCGAATAAGTAAGTTTTCGCGTATACTACATGATGTGTTGTCTTATGTTGAGTCGGCGGCGCAATGTAGTGAGTCCGTTTCTCGGTTTAGTCCATCATCGTTTTGACATAAGCTGCTTTAAGAAAGCGCGATCATTCGTTGCCATGACCCATGATAGCCGGCGGTTGGCTCATGAACATGGACGCGGCCATCATCACGGGGATGCGTTGTCGCGTCGAAAACAGGGGGCCCGCCCGCGCCAGACGGCGCGCCCCCGACCTGAGGGGCGGCCGGCGCCAAGGGCGCGGCCAAGAGAGCGCGCGCTGGCGCGGGCGCTGCTGCCGCGCCCGCCGCCGCGCGGCTGCTGGCCAGCGCCGCTCTGCATGTTTGTTTTCCCCTGCCCTGCTCCCCGCTCACCTCGATCTCGCCGCTCGCGCCCTCCAGGCCGCGAGCTCAGCTGGGCCCCCATGCAGAAGGGGCCCGAACCAACATCCACTCTCCATCGGGGCGCGATCTCAGTCCAAGGGCCCCCCGCCAGCGAGCTGACCCAGCCCCCGCGGGCGGCGATGGCCCACGGGCGCGTCGGGTCGCGAGCGCTGGCGTCGCCAGCCAGGGCGCCCTTTGGGAACTCAGATCTCTGCGCGCATCCTGGGGGCCACAACGTCTCAGTCTCGGCAACGTGCCCTCAGGAAACCCGCCGCCCTGAGGCCCGCCGCACCACGTTCCACTCCTGCTTCAAAGCAAGAGAACGCGGCAGTTGGAACCCTATTCAAGAAATCTCCGGCTGACCAATTCGCCATGCGGCATGCCGCGCGGAGAGGCACTCATCGCCCCCAGCGGTCTACATCCTCTCGCTACGGAGGCGCCGCCAAAGCCGCGCAAGGAACCCTGCGCTTGCACAGCTCATGCAAACGGCTCGCCGGGTAGTAGCCTACATTCCGCGCGCCGCCCCGCGCGCGATCCACGGGCGCGCCGCCGCGGGCTTTTACCCCGCATCCCTGTGCGCTGATGCGGAAAGTGACAACTCAGGCCCGTTCCGCCTGGCCCATGCGGCCGCCGCGCGTGTCGGCGCAGCGCCGTGCATTCTCTGCGTGGACGCTGACTCCGACGTCGACCAATCGCCGATCATGCAGGACAACCTCCGTCTCGGCTGGCCCAGCGCTGCAGCGGGCTGCCCAAGGGGGCGCGACCGCGCGCTCGGTCAATACAAAGGATGGGATAATGGGACGGTCGAACCCGGAATCTCCCACATCGATTACGGTCTGGCCAACCCCCAGACCAGCCACATGGTTGCTGACTTCGCCCTCCTGCGCGACCTCCCATCCCCCAGCGCCTGGGCCTCAGAGTCACGTTGGACCTCGACCTGGGACATCAAGAAGCCCTTCGCCTCAAGCACGCCAAACCATGACATCCCTTGCCCGACCACATCCCGTGGCAAGAATTCCAGGAACTGGGCGGGGAAATTGAAAGTGCTTACTCAGGGCGCCATGCAGGACGGCGGACGGCGCCGACGACCCTAACGCAACGTTGAGGATCGCCAGCGACGCGGAGCAAGCCCTCCACGCGCGCGTTCAACGCGGCGCTCGCCCTGG